AATTCCTTTGATGTCTCAATGGGCTAAAGATGAATGTTTTGTCTGTGCATGTTTTTTCGGGGTAGAATCTTAATGCCAATTCCTCTTTTTGCCAATCGTACTTTTTGCCAGTTGGCGAATATCCCCTAGTACTTCGCCAATTGGTGGATTTCCCCACGAAATTCACCAATTGGCGAATTTCGTGAAGAAGTTCGCCAATGGCGAATATACCGTTGGCCAAATTCACATTTGACGAAATTACATAGAGACGTTTTTTCGGTGATCAAATAATTGATAAATGGTCAACAATCCATTGAGAAATTCATCAAATAAGCTGCAATATCGTGCAATTACATTCATTATTTTTCAATGAATTCCTAAAATTGGCTACATGAGTAGCCAGTAACGCTAGTCGATACGACTCGCTCAATGCTTGACTGAATGAAAATTATTGTCAGATAAATCATGGATAAGTATAAAACTTGGAAACTATCAACGATCGGCAGTGAATGCTCGTACATGTTCAAGCTTCAGCCGAATGTTAGGAAGAGTCGATCATTTTCTCAATAATACAATCAATATCAGACATGAGGATGTGGGTGTGGGGTGTGGGTGTGTGGGTGTGGGTGTGTGTGGGTTTGGCGGTGTGTGTGGGTGTGGTGATGTGGGTGTGGGTGCGGGTTTTGGTATGGGTGTGTGGGTATGGGTGTTGGTGTGTGGGTATGGGTGTGGGTGTGTGGGTATGGGTGTGGGTGTGTGGGTATGGGTGTGGGTGTGTGGGTATGGGTGTGGGTGGGGTGTAGGTGGGGTGTGGGTGGGGTGTAGGTGGGGTGTGGGTGTGTGGGTGTGTGGGTGTGTGGGTGTAGGTTTGACGGTGGGTGTGGGTGTGGGTGTTTAAAGAACGTTAGCCACACCCAAACGCACATCCCACACCCACGCCCACGCCCACACACACCGCCAAACCCACACACACCCACACCACCCACACCCATACCCACACCCACACCCTTCCACACCCACATCCACACCCATACCCACACCCCACACCC